GAAACAATCAGCAAAACAAAAAGGCAACTGACTGAATGGGAGAAGACATTTGCAAATGACCTATCAGATAAAGGGTTAGTATCTAAAATCTATTAAGAACTTATCAAACTTAACACCCCCAAAAAACAAATACTCCAGTCAAGAAATGGGCAAAAGACATGAACAGACACTTCTCCAAAGAAGACATCCAGATGGCTGACAGACACATGAAAAAATGCTCAACACATCATCAGGGAAATACAAATCAAACCCACAATGAGATACCACCTCACACCTGTCAGAATGGCTAACATTAACAACTCAGGCAACAAGAGATATTGGCAAGGATGCTGAGAAAGAGGATCTCTTGTGCACTGCTGGTGGGAATGCAAACTGGTGCAGCCACTCTGGAAAACAGTATGGAAGTTCCTCAAAAAATTAAAAACAGAACTACCCTACCACCTAGCAATTGCACTACTGGGTACCTATCCAAAGGATACAAGTGTACTGTTTCAAAGGGGCACATACACCCCAGTGCTTACAGCAGCACTACTGACAATAGTATGGAAAGAGCCCAAATGTCCATTGATGGATAAATGGATAAATAAGATGTGATACACACACACACACACACACTAGTATTACTCAGCAATCAAAAAGAATGAAATCTTGCCATTTGTTAACTACGTGGATGGAACTGGAAGGTATTATGCTACGTGAAGTAAGTCAGAGAAAGCCAACCATTCATTCCTATATGGAACATAAGGTACAAAACAGATGAACCTAAGAGAAGGGAAGCAAAAATAATATAAAAACAGGGAGGGGGACAAAACAGAAGAGACTCTTAAATATAGAGGACAAACAGGGTTGCTGGAGGGGTTGTGGGAGGGGGTAGAGGCTAAATGGATTAGGGGCATTAAGGAATCTACTCCTCAAATCATTGTTGCACTGTATGCTAACTAACTTGGTTGTACTTTAAAACACTAAATAAATTATTTAAAAAAAGCCATATGTGACAAATCCAAAGATAACAATATTCAAAGGTAAAAAGCTGAAAGCTTCTCCTCTAAGATCAGGAATAAGACAAGGAGGCTTACTCTTGCCACTTTTTTTTTTTTAAGTATTAGAAGTCCTAGGCAGAGCAATCAAACAAGAAATAAAAGGCAACCAAATTAGAAAATAAGTAAAAATATCACCATTTGCAGAAATGTGATTCTATACATATAAAACGTAAACACTACCACGAAAAATCTACTAGAATAAATGAACCCAGGCACACCTGGGTGGCTCAGCTGGTCAAGCATCCAACTTAGGCTCAGATCATGATCTCACAGTTTTTGAGTCTGAGCCCCGTGTTGGTCTCCACACTGACAGTGCAGAACCTGCTTAGGATTCTTGCGCACGCTCGCTCTCTCTCTCTGTCTCTGTCTCTCTCTCTCTTCTCCTCCCCCACTTGTGCATGTGTGCTTTCTCTCTCTCAAAATAATAAATTTTTTGTAAAAAAAGAATGAACCCAATAAAGTTTCAGAATAGAAAAATAATAAACATAAATCCATTGTATTTCTAAACACCAATAATGAAGTATGACAAAGAAAAATTAAGAAAGCAAGCCCATTTACAATTACATCAAAAAGCAAAAAATATCAAGAACTAAATTTAACCAGGAGATGAAAAGCCCATACACTGAAAATTATAAAATAATGAAGAAAAAAATTAAAGACAACACAAATAAATGAAAAGACATTCCATGCTCATGGATTGAAAGAATTAGTAATGTTAAAAGGTCCATTCAACCCAAAGAAGTCTACAGACAGTGTAATCCTTATCGAAACACCAATAACATTCCTCATAGAACTGAAACAACCCCAAAATTTTCTGAAACAAAATATGCCAAATAGCCAAACCAACCTTGAGAAAGAACAAAGCTGGAAGCATCATGTTCCCTGCTCTCGAACTATGCTATAAAGCTACGATAATCAGTCGGATGAGCAGCCAACTTCTGCTCAGGTCATGATCTCATGGTTTGTGAGTTTGAGCCAGGCATTGGGCTCTGTGCTAACAGCTCAGAGACTCATCTCCCTCTTTCTCTGCTACTCTCCTGCTCACGCTCTCTCTCTCTCAAAACTGCATAAACATTAAAAAAAAATTGTTTGGGGGGGGATGGGCATGGAACAGGGCACTTGTGGGGATGAGCACTGGGTGTTATATGGAAACCAACTTGACAATAAACTATTTGTAAAAAAAAAAAAAAAAAGAGCAACCTTTTGTAAAAAACAAAACAAAAAACAAAAACAAAAATTGTTTAAGCTATCATAAACAAAACAGTGTGATGTGGCACAAAACCAGACATATAGATCACCAGAATAGAGTCCAGAAAAACCCCTACACTTATGCAATTTTTTTTTACATTTTTTTTAATATTTATTTATTTCTGAGAGAGAGAGAGACAGCGTGAGCAGGGAAGGGTCAGAGAGAGAGGGAGACACAGAATATGAAACAGGCTCCAGGCCCTGAGCTGTCAGCACAGAGCCCGATGCAGGGCTCGAACCCAAGAACCGTGAGATCATGACCTGAGCCGAAGTCGGACACTTAACCGACTGGACCACCCAGGCACCCCTTATGCAGTCAATTTTCAACAAAGAAAATAAGAATATACAATGAGGAGGAGACAGACTCTTCAGTACTTTGGTCCTGGAGAAACTGGAGAGCTATGTGCAAAACAATTAAACTGGACCACTTTCTTAACACCACATAGAAAATTAAATCAAAATGGGTTAAATACTTAAATGTAAGACCAAAAACCATAAAACTCTTAGAAGAAAACATAGGCAGTAAGCTCCCGGACATCAGTGTTAGCAATATTTTTTTGGATCTGCATTCTCAGGCAAGGACACCAAGAATAAAAATAAATGGGACCACATCAAACTAAAAAACTTGTGCACGGTGAAGCAAAAACATCAACAAAATGAAAGGCAACCTACTAAATGGGAGAAAACATTTGCAACTAATAAAACAGGGTTAATGTCCAAAATATATCAAGAACTCAAACAACCAATTTAAAAAAAGTACAATTAAAAAGCAGGTAGAGAACCTCAATAGACATACTTCTCCAAAAACATACAGATGGCCAAAAGACACATGAAAAGTTACTCAACATTATTAATCTTCAGTAAATGCAAATGAAAACCACAATGATATCACCTCACACCTGTCAGAATGGCTAGTATCAAAAAGACAAGAAATAAAAAGTGTCAGCAAAGATGCAGAGAAAAGGGAAACCTTGTATTATTGCTGATAGGAATGCAAAATGGTGCAGCTGCGGAAAATAGTCTGGAGTTCCCCCCTAAAATTAAAAACAGAAATACCATACAATCCAACAATTCCATAGCTGGGAAGAAAACAAAAACACTAACTTGAAAAGATGTATGCATCCCATGTTCACTCCAACATTACTTACAATAGCCAAGATATGTAAACAACCTAAGTGCCCATCAATAGATGAAAGGATAAAGAATATGTGGTATAAATATACACAATGGAATATAACTCAGCCATAAAAAATGAAATCTTGCTATTTCAAAACTTGTAACAACTTTGTATGATGACGGATGGTAGCTAGACTTATGGAGATCACTTACTAATCTATATAAATGTTGAATCACTATGTACACCTGAAACTAATTTTGTATGACAACTGTACTTAAATTTTAAAAACGGAATTCATTATCAGAGAAAACTACAAGCCCAAATGGCTTCACTGGTAAATTCTATCTACATTCAAGGAAGGAATAACAGCATTCCTATACAAATTTTTGTTTATTTTTCAGAAGTAGAGGGAAAGAGAATGCTTCTCAACACATTTTATGAGGTCAGCATAAGCCTAACACCAAAACCTGAAAACAAACTACAAACAAGCCATGACACTGAAAATTTTAGAACACACTTCGAAATAAATGTGAGGCAACTAAAGCAAATAAAAACCTATAGGGTATGACCAATGTGTTACTCATAACTATCTAGCTATCTCAAAAATCCAAGCATGGTGTAACATTTGACAATGTGCCATTATAATTCATACACTAACAGAAGAACATAGGGAAATTATGGGATCACCTCAGAAAATAGCACAGAAAAGCATGTGATACTCATTAACTTAGAATTAAAACAAAAATTCTTTACAAACCACAACTAGAAATTTTTAAACTCATAAAGTATACTTACCAGAAAATTACAGTAAATAATAAACTTGATGTTAAAACCTCAGAAGGACTAATAAAGTGGAAATATACAAGCTAACATGGGAAAACTCCAAAATACATTTTTGACTAAAAGAAGTTGCGGATAGTTGTAGCTTTAAAACATTCACACATATTTCTATGATCTTCTGTAGGAATATACACAGGTATACAAGCACTAAGAAATAAGAGTGGTAAAAAACACATCAGATAACTTTTTTTATGTTTGTTTATTTTTTAGAGGGAGACGCAGAGTGCGAGCGGGGGAGGGGGAGAGGGAGAGATGGGGAGGGAGAGAGACAGACAGACAGACAGAATCTGAAGAAAGCTCCAGGCTCCAAGCCTGTCAGCACAGAGCCTTACCCCGCGCTTGAACCCACCAACGGTGAGATCATGACCTGAGCTGATGTCGGAGGCTTAACTCAGCCACCCATGCACCCCATAAATTATTATTAAACACATACTGATTTGAGAGATTCTTGTAGTTTGCATCCACTGACTCTAAGCGTGGTCTGAACTTGTCCCAAGTGGGCGGGTGTGTGTGCAAATACACGAGCAAATCGACAAGGAGAGTGGAATAGAGGGCTTCCCTCAGCTCTACGCACCCAGGATTCGGCCAGCTGTGGTCTATAAAGCTGAGGCACGGAGGCCACCGGCAACAGGATCCAAGGGAGTACCTCGGCCACCGCGCGCGGCACTGAAGGAGGAGACCGAAGAGGGGCGGGACGGCGTGGCCTCCGCTCCTCCCCGGGCCAGGGCGGGCCCCAGAATGCAACCCACCTCTCCCGGGCTGTCCCCGTCACAGCGCCGCGGGACAGCCATGCCGGGCCGCCTGCTGCGGGGCCTGTGGCAGCGATGGCGCCGTTACAAGTACCGCTTCGTTCCTTGGATCGCGCTGAACCTAAACCACAACCCGAGGTGAGAGGGAGAGCCGGCACACCAGGGACGCCTCTCAGCCCCAAGAAGCCGCCGGGGCCGCTGGACCCTAGGCGAGTGGGCCCGTAGTGGGCGGGGTCTCCGGCGGACGGCCCTTAAAGCGGCAGTCTCTGGGAGGCGGAGCCTCAGGCGGCCCAGGGGCCCGACGTGGGCGGGCCCGTAGTGGGTAGAACCTGAAGTGGGGCCGGGCCCGAAGTGGGCGGAGTCCGAAGACAGCTGGGATTCTAACGAGGGTGGGGAGTCCTAGGAGGGTGGGACTTGAGGCCTACTCTCCCAGAGTACCCCGCGCTTTCAGGTCTGCGAGGNCCCCCCCCCCCCCCCCACCTCCGTCCGCCAGGGCAGTGGCCGGTGTTCCCCTTTAGAGGTCTTCGCTGACGGGTGCTTCTGTCCTGGCAAAAAACAGAAACTTTTGAAAAAGAACAAAGTTCATACAGCGTGAGGGTGCATGGCCTTCTCTCCGCCAGGGCATAGTTAGAAGTTCCTCAGAAAAGACAAACCGAGGTTTATTTTCACAGCTCCGTAGTTTATCTGTTGAAAGCAGCCCGGCTTGGATGTGAGGATGACAGCTTGCACTAGCTGACGCAGAAAAACAAGCAGAATGTCAAAAAACGCTTCCGAGTGTTGGGTTTAGAATGGTGCATGCCTGAAGAAAGGAATCTACTTGAGTGGGTGGCGGTGGAGTCAGTGTTAATTCCGGTTCTAGTAAGTGGCGCGCTAGTGATCTGGAAGAAGCTCACTAATGCTCACTTAAATAGGCAAAACGAGCAATGTTGAAGGCTAGTTAATAACCAAAGAGCTTTTCCAAAGTTTCATACCGCGGAAACGTGAATTCAGGGCCGTGATTACTATAGTGTTGTTTAGCGGAAAAGACTTTTTGTCAAGAAGTAAAATTAATACCATTATGCAAGTAAAAATGATGCAGCCGTTAAAGAAGTAAGTACTCCCGGGAGAGAATGTGACAAAGTATATAATGTTAAATTTGTCTTTGAAATTACATGCCTATAAAAAGAGCCTTTGCAATATGAGGATCCTTATGTGATATTCCCTTAACTGCCATGGATGTAGGGGGAGGAAGATTTCTGTTTCAGCTGTGGCTCTCCCACTAAACAGCTTTCGGATCTTGGGCAAGTTCCCCAACATCAAGCCTCAGTTTCCCTGTCTGCAAAGATGAGATAATGAATGTAAGGACCCAACAGCTTTTGGTACAGATAGAACCTTTCACAGATAACTGGCTATTGCTAACTTGGGTAGGTGTTGCTGGGAGTTAGGTAACTATAACCATCCCCAAACAACTCTTTTCTGAACTTTTTAGTTTTATGCCCTTCACACACATGGGAACAATCGTCATTAAGCCCAGCAACTCAGAAGACCTGAAGGCATGAAGCCTGACTTTAATCACTTGAAGGATAGTGAATGGAAATTTTTCCTGTTTTCAGGACCCTCCGATATGTTCCAGAGGAATCCAAAGACAAAGTTATCTCAGATGAAGATGTCCTAGGAGCATTACTGAAAGTTTTCCAGGCTCTTTTCATTAATGATTTCAATAAGCAATCAGATATCTTGAGTATGCTTCCAGAAACTGTTGAATCAAAATATCATGATCTACTGTCAGTTCAACATCCAAGGGTGAAACTGCTTGAATACAGACATCAACAGCAAAATATCTTTAAACCAGAAGAAATTCTTTATAAGACAATGGGTTTCAGTGTTGTCCGAGCAACTAGCTCGTTGATTTCTGCTGGAAAAGGTGTCTTCGTTTCCAGAGGACTGGTACCAAAAGGCGCGGTTGTATCTATGTATCCTGGTAATGGCACAATTAGTGCTTTGCCGAGAGTTTCCTATTTATCAATTAATATAAGTTCAACAAAATATTCCTATAATCCTTTGAGTAAGGGGTTGAATTGGAAACTGAGACTTTTATACAATTGTAAATCCTGATTTGGAAAATAACTGTAAATTAGTTTATGTGTTAGCATCTTTGAGTATGTGTTTGGATAAAAGCACTTTTCTTTAAGGAAATTTCTGTAGTCAGTGGTTAAATCTAGAATATAGTATGCCTACTTTGATTAGATGAATTACTTAGAAAGCACTAGAGAATAAGTTAGTTGGCTTACATAATTGACAACTAAAGGTAAAAATAGTATGGATGAAAACAGGAATGACAGAATTTAAACCTGTAAATCAGTGAATAAAGACTTTCCTGTCATTTCTATGCTTTGAAAGTAAAGCAGCTTCTTTGCAAAAAGATCATTGACTAGAATGCTCAGTAGGGTATGTTATTTGTTAAACTAAGATTACATTATTTGTGAATGTTTAATTCAGACATATGTCTTCAAAATGTCATTCTACTCTTTTCTAATTTTACACCCCTAAGCAAAATAGTTGGTTTCCTCCTACACAACTAACCTAACTGTAAAGACTAAAGAGAACGAGCTGCTAACAAATTAATACTAAAGTAAATTTAATAGATGAGGATGCCTATAACATAGGAGGCACCCAGTGAATACTATTTTTCTCCTTTCTTCTATTGCTAGTGAAAGAAACAACCTGAATGTTATTTAATTGGTTATTAACAAAACAACCTGAATGTTATTGGTTATTAACAAAATAAATTTCTTAAAAAAAGACTTTTTTGAGAGAGAGAGAGGTGGGGCACAAGTCAGTGAGGAACAGAGAGAAAGAGAATTCCCTGGAGGGGCAAAGACAGAGAGACAGAGAGAAACGCGGCTCACCTGAAGCAGGGCTCAAGCTTACCTGAAGCGAAGCAGGTCTTGAGTTCACCGATGTGGGACTCAAACTCACAACCATGAGATCATGACCTGAGCAGAAGGTCTACGCTTACCACCGAGCCACCCATGCACCCAAAAGACTTTCTAATAGATGTCAAGTCACACTGTATTTTAAAAAGCAAAAACAAAACAAAAAGCCCCATAACTTTGTAAAGCTGAATCTCAAATGTGGTGTTCACATTTTAATTAATCAAAATAGTCACATTTTCTTTGGCTCTGTGAACAAGTTGATCCTCTGCTCCTTTTACTTTTGGGGATTCTTTAAAGGGAAAAAGTAGCCAAAGAGAATGTGATAATCTAGACTGGAGGTGAAATATTAGAAAAAAGTAGAGGAAGTAAACTATCTTCTTTCATGTTATGTTTATGTTCCCGAGAAAGGTTCTTACCATGACGTTAATAATTTTTACATGTTGCTATGTCCTTATCTTCTTTCATAATAGGTACAGTATATCAGAAGTATGAGCCAATCTTTTTCCAGTCTATTGGAAATCCATTTATTTTTAGATGCCTGGATGGTGTACTCATTGATGGAAATGACAAAGGAATATCAAAAGTCGTATACAGGTAAGTTAGTGCCCGTGTTCAAACATAATGATAGGACACAGAACCACAGCAAAATGGCCATGACCCTGGCCTTTTCACTTTAAATAAAAATCTATTTAGACAGCTGCTAAGTGGCAACTCAGTAGCCCTATTGACTAGACAAAACTTTTCTTTAAGAGAAATTGGACTTGTTCAGTTCTAGGGTTAATTTTGTACTTTTGTATTTTATTGTAAGACATAAAAGAACAATCCCTTAGCTAATGCTTTCACCTGTTTCAGATCCTGCAATGGGAGGGATCGACTTGGTCCTTTAAAAATGAGTGACAGTACATGGCTAACATCAGAAATTTGTAATCCACTCGCTGTAGGACAGTATGTCAACAATTGTTCAAATGGTAAGTTGGACTCATGGGTTTGTGAGACAAGATATAAATACAGCAGTAGTAATTTTCCTCCTTTGCCATATGACTGAGTGCCAGAAGCAGTTAAATTTAACATCTCAGCTATTCAAAGCCTGTGAGTAAACCATACTACTGAGAGAGATATCAAAGAATTTGGGAAAATAATTATTTACATTAATTGGAATTCTTTAATTTACTATTTTTCTTCTGGTTTTGCAGTAAATATAGGTAACTGGTAAATGCTCTTTTGATAATTATTATTTTACCACTTTTTAATAGTTAAACAAAGAGAGAGCATTAGTGATCATTTTGTCATGGCCTCAGTAGAAACTTGTAGCTTAAACTAGACTGGTATCCCCTTTCTGTTGCTACGTTTGTGAGTCATTTACCTTCTCTAGGGCTTGCCTTTCCCAAAAATATAAGTTTGATCTGGCTACATTAGCATAGGTTTTGGTGTTAGGGAGATATGAACTTGAAACCTGACTCTTCTACTTAACCTTCAACCTTTCTGAGCCTCTGCTTTCTAATCTTCAAAAAGTAGATAATAAAACATACATAATCTAGTAATGCCTGGAATCTAATAGTGATGATTAATTTGAGCATGTTCTAATAATTTAGAAAACGACACACCAAGTGTTATAATTTAGTTCTGTTTTCTATGACCTTTTCTAAAATGACTATTTCTAATAATTATATACTTGTTCCTAGACAGAGCAGCTAATGTCTGTTACCAGGAATTTAATGTGCCTGCAGTTTTCCCTATAGAACTAAAGCAGTATCTTCCAAACATTGCCTACAGCTGTGACAAACAAAGGTTAGTCTTCTCCTATCCCCTGTCTTCTGCTGTACTCAAAAAACATATATATTCCAAGGCACCTGGATGGCTCAGTCGGTTGAGCATCTGACTCTTGTTCTTGGCTCAGCTCATGATCTCACGGTTTGTGGGTTTGAGTCCCACATTGAGCTCTGCAGTAACAGTGTGGAGCCTCCTTGGGATTCTCTCTCTCTCACCCTCTCTTTCTCTGTCTCTCTCTCTCTGCCTCTCATGTGTGTCCTCTCAAAATAAGCACATAAACTTAAATACATATGTGTGTATATATATGTATATATTCCAAGAAAAAGCTATATAGAACTTGGAGTAATTTCTTTTAGGAAAAAAATGTAACTTAAGTTTTGATTTTCATCATACCTTAATGTGTTAATGTAGGCTTATTTGAACTTAGCTCATTCTGCTGCTTATTACCCATTTATCATTATTTACCCATTTTTATTCTCTGTAGTCCTCTACTTAAAACAATCTTCAAATACATTTTTATTTTAATCATTTTAAGGATTATGTTCTTCATCTCACTTAAGAATACCCAGTTGAAGAAAAAGGCCAAATTACACTATTCTTTCTTTTGCTCATTTCACTATTAGGTTTGGAAACTTAATACTGAAAAAAAGAGGAAATATCAGGTGTGCCTGGGTGGCTCAGTCAGTTAAGTGCCTGACTTTGGCTCAGGTCATAATTTCAGGGATTTGAATTCATGTTGGGCTCTGGGCTGACAGCTCAAAGCCTAGAACCTGCTTCTGATTCTGTCTCTCCCTCTCTTTGCCCCTCCCCTGCTCACTCTCTCTCTCTAAAAATAAATAACATAAAAAAAAGGAAATATTCAGAAGATACATATTTTTAAAAATTTTTTAATGTTTTTTATTTATTTCTGAGAGAGAGAGACAGCATGAGCAGGGGAGGGTCAGAGAGAGAGGGAGACTCAGAATCTGAAAGAGGCTCCATCCTCTGAGCTGTCAGCACATAGCCTGATGTGGGGCTCTGACCCACTAACTGTGACATCATGACCTGAGCCCAAGTGGCCACTTAACTGACACAGCCACCCAGGCGCCCCAAAAGATACATATTTTTAATGTAAGATTTCTGTTCAATAAGTCAAATGTCTGAAAGTATTCAAGTAACAATTTCTAAATGTAAGTAATTCTGTAGAGTTCTTTATTAGCAATGCTCTAGAAAGATATAATCTTTATGCCATGTCACTGAGCTGCCAATTTGCTAGCAAACTTCATTTTGTATGGGCCCCATTAAATTGTCCTTTTAAGATGGATGAGATTTAAAACTTAGACTGTTCTTTGGGGGCACCTGGGTGGCTCAAGTCAGTTGAGCGTCCAACTCTTAATTTCGGCTCAGGTCATAATCCCAGAGTCATGGGATCAAGCCCTTCATTGGGCTCCACACTGAGCATGGAGCCTGCTTAAGATTCTCCCTCACTCTCTCTCACTCTCCCTCCTCCCCTCCCACTTACACTGTCTCTAAAAACAAAACAAACTTTGACTCTTCTCTGTACTTGACACATACTCTGTCTCTATATGTGTGTATGTTTGTATATCTAACAATTTGGGTTTTTTTAGCTACATACTCTGGAGCATAATGTCATTACAGGAAAAGTTGACTGAGCAGAAACATTGAAGATTACTTATGTCTTACGGTGTCCATAAAAGTATTTTTTTAATTCCAATTAATTTTAAGTAATGTTTCCATCTTTGCAGAATACAAAGATACAAATTAATTTTAAAATGTTAAACTATAATAAATTTTATTTTAAAATGCTTTTTGTGATGCCAGGTGGGGGGCCTGAACATAAAAACAACATGTTCAGAAGTAGTAGTCAGGTGTATAAACTTACTGATTTGTGGTCTTTTTAAAAATGATGTGGAATAGACATAATGTACTTTAAAATAACTCCATCAATAAAAAATTAAAATAACTCCATCAGGGCTAAAAACTATTTCCTCATGGAAATCAAATAACTAAGACAAGAGTAAGGAATTTGAATAAAACTGTGCTATAACACCTGAATTGGTTGTATTAAAAATATGACCTTGGATTTGTTAATCCTTCTAACTTTTGTGTATTCTTTTTGTTTTCAGCCCTCTTCGATGTGTCATTCTTGTAGCACTCAGGGACATCAAACAAGGAGAAGAGCTTTTTTCAAACTACTATACAATTGTCAGCTAACTATGAATTAGAAATTAGGTTTTCTACTCAACTATTTATACTAAATGTTTTGTTGTTAATTTTATCTCTGAATTCCACCTATAGAGCAAATATTTTGATGCTTTATTGGAGTGGGAATCTTTGGTCTTTATTGATATTAATGTGTTTATATTAAAAGCTATTTGCTTCATTACAATTTCAAGTTTGTAATGCAGTTACAACTTTAATTGGTTTTCACCTAAATACACAGTAGCTGATTAAATTAAAACCTACTGCCTGAAATTAAAATTTTTCTTTTATTTTGTATTTGTGTGGTGGTTTATAAAATTTTAACCAAGTCATCACCAATTCTTGCACTGTTGATGTGTATAAACTTCTGTAAAAACTGTATTTTTATATTATAAACTAAAGCCAAAATTATGTTGTTGCCATGAGTTAATTGTGTGTGTGTGTGTGTGTGTGTGTGTGTGTGTGTGTAATTTAAGAATTGTTTTAGCTAGGTAAGGGAAAATTGGAACTTCTCTTGTTGAACATTCACACACACACAAATCTTAAAAGAGTGTTAAAGAGATTATTTTAGCGTGGAAATATAGTCAAAAGATAGTGGTGATGTGAGGAACACGTATTCCTCATTCTCTTTTTTTTATTTTGAGACAGAGAGAGAGGGAGAGAGTGTGTGTGCGCGCAAGCAGGGGAAGGGCAGAGAGAGAGGGAAAGAGAGAATACCAAGCAGGCTCTATTCTGTCAGCATGGAGTCCGGTACAGGGTTTGAACTCATGAACTGTGAGATCATGACCTGAGCTGAAACCAAGAGTCAGACACTTACCTGCCTAAGCCATTCACGTGCCTCTACCCATTGGAGGAAGAATGATTTTCTGAGGTTATCTTTGGAGGAGAAGTAGGCACCCATGGCCCAGACCCGTTTCCTTTTCTGTGGACTCTGCCAGCAGAGATAGTATCCTGGTTGTCTCTCTGCACAGCTAGTGAGAGTCTAATAGTTCAGAGATGGGAGTATGAATAAGCTGAACTGGCTACAACTCTGAAGCCACATTCTCCAGTTTCATTCATAATCCTTCCCTGATCTCCAACCTGACTCCCGCATCCAACTCTCAGTTTCAATCTTGGATGCAGAGCAGGGTATTATTATTGCATTCCTCAAATCCTAACATGGAACCTGTAAAACTAGACTCTAACCACCTTAACTGCTACATCAACAACTTTCTTCAGTTTACTGCAATTTCAGTAGCATCCTAATTGCCTTCTCTGTTTCCACTCCTGCCATCTTTACAGAATTGATCACCAAGAGAGGTTCTTGTAAATGTAACTCAGATCTTCATCCACCTCTGCCCAAAACCCTCTCATTACTCCTCATATAGTGGAATAAATGCTAAAGTCCTTCACATATAGGATATAGCCATTCACTACATCTGATCTCATCTGCTCATTCCACCCCAGGCACATCTGCCTCCTTCCCATTCCTTGAACCTCTTGGACACACACACACTTCAGGGCTTCTGCATGAGCTTTTTGTGCCTACAAAGGTCTTCCCCTGGAGAGCCACATGCTTCATATCCTCCACCACCTTGCCCAACTAGCGTACTGAAATTTACAACACCCAGGTGCCAGCCCTGAAACATCCCATTACACTTTCCTTCTTTTTCTCTATCAGATTTATTATGTATAGATAGTAAATGTACATTTGTGACAGGATCTGATTCTTTTTCTCAGCCTCCTTTGTCTTTTGCGTCAGCAAGATCCTGAAAACCAGGGAGAACTAATCTTATTTTTTGAAAGAAAAAAAAAAAAAAAAAGCCAATCTACTTGACCAAGAAGACCCTGTTATCCAGAACCTTATGTAAAATACAGAAATACTAACTCTTGTGGACATACTAGGTGGGCTGAAGGTTTTAGTAGTGAACTCTGACAATGTCAGTAACTTTTTAAAATTAGTGCAGGAAAAAAACATGTTATACACAAAGAGATCAAATATGGTAAAATGTCAGTTCAATCTGAGTTATTCTTTATATCATTCTTCCAACTTTTGCCTTTAAAAGTCTTTCTTTAAAAGCTAGGGGCAAAGTCACCATTATTTTAAGAGTAATTTAGGTCATCAAACATTTAGTGAATACCGACTAGGTGAAGGGTCCCGGGAGATTCACTCATAAAATGCTCATGGTGAGAGTATAAAGCTCACCTAGAATCATGACTTGGTCTCCACTGGAGGGGTGAAAATTATTTTAATGTAACAATGACACTTTAAAACAGAAAAACCAGGGGCGCCTGGGTGGCTTAGTCGGTTAAGCGTCCGACTTTCGCTTAGGTCATGATCTCGCGGTTCGTGGGTTCGGGCCCCGCGTCGGGCTCTGTGCTGACTGCCAGCTCAGAGCCTGGAGCCTGTTTCAGTCTGTGACTCCCTCTCTCTCTGACCCTCCCCTGCTGACGCTGTTTCTCTCTCTCTCACCTAGAAATAAAAACATTAAAAAAAAAAAAAATTTAAAACAGAAAAACCATGTTGTATTTTTCTTACTAAAATTCTTTTTAGATTTATAAATGACTGATTTCATTTCTGACATGCTTATGAGATGCTTTTGAGTTCTACACCAAAAAAAAAAAAACTTTGTAGCAGCGTCACCTTTACCTTTGTATAAGCATCTCATCAAATTTGAGTTACACAACAGCCTGTGTGTCTCTCTAAAGTAAATGTCAACTAATGTATTAAACATAGAAAAACATGAGCACTCCTCTAGAACCATGAATACAGTGCCCTAGTACACAGTTTTGTCAGAGAACCCACACAGACACAGAAACAGACTCTAAGGATTAGAGAACACCTACCTGGAGGGGAAATGATAAACACTGATTATGTTCCACCAGTGTACATAATGAAGTATGCAACTTACAGATGCTCTCAGGCCTTTGAGAAGTTAGAGAAGCAGCAAGCTCAAAGCCTATCATTGATGAAAATTATGGCCAAGAAGGATAAAGTCTACAAATCACGAGAGATTATTCTGCTCCCACAAGGCTCTCTTCCCTCCCCTAAAAGCCTCAAGTACTTTGTAGCTCTCACATGGTACTTGGCCACATGGCTGGCTGGATTGAAAACATTTGTGCTTAGTCTCCACCTGAAGGCACTAATGTGTATGTGTCCACCAGAGAGCTCTGAACATGAACGCTCTGTGGCGTCTGTGCACAAAGGAATGTGATTTTAGACAAGTAACCAGAGCAGAGGAGTCAAGAGTATTTGCTTTCATTTTATCCTCTTTGTGCCCTTGTACAAAATCTGGACCTTATGTGCTAGCTGATCACTGCATATTAAGAATGCACTAGGGGTGCATGGGTGGCTCAGTTGGTTGAGCATCAGACTCTTGATGTTGGCTCAGGTCATAATCTTGCAGTTCGTGGGATCCAGCCCCGCTTCTGGCTCTCTGCTGGCAGTGCAGAGCCTGCTTGGGATTCTCTCTCCTTCCCTGCCCTTCCCTCCCCTTCCTCCCCCTTCTATCTCAAAAAAAAAAAAAAAAAGAACTAGCTAAAGCTCTGCTCAGAAGAAATGAAATATGGAAACAAACTTGTGAAATTTGGCTAAGATGAGATCTTCAGCTTGGAAAAATGAAGGTTTAAGAAAGATATTTCTAGAGTCTACTAAACTATGTATACTATGGATAAAAAAGACGAGTTTACATAAATATATTCTGTCAAATAACAACAGAATAATAGACATCGTGTCTTCCTTCCTAAAAGACAGTAACCTAGAACACTGTTTGAAACATAACAGACATTCAACAAATATTTCCCGAATTAAAAGTACAATAAGCCAGCCTCACTTTGGGATGGCTGTTTTATCCTAGGTAGAATTTGTTATAGAAGATTTAAAGAAAACTTATTTTATCTACCATTTGTCACTTATCAAATATCTTATTTACCACCTCAAAAACCAACTGAACAGTGGTTAAATCTCTACCCATGTCCCATGAGTTATAGCTTAAGATTCATTAAATAAAAATCTAATTGTGGCAAATACTCACACGAACCAAGAAAAAAAAAGATTTCCAGATGTTTATTTCTGGAACTGTACACCAGGTATTAAAGTACAACAAATACAAAATAATGCTCAAAAAAATCAGTGTTTATGTACAAATATTAAAATCAATGCAACAATAGCAACTTCCTCTTGAACATCTGATACTAAAACTTGTTGTGATTGTCACTAATTAATCTCATACTCACAGGGTACTTATTTCAAACTGGGACAATTGGAATCACTGGTCATCTAAGAGGAATTTTAATATCTACCATATTTAACAATAAAACTAATAGCTTCCTCCTTTTAGTGAAAAAATTAAGAACTTTTTAAAAAACATAGTAATGTCAATATTTTTATAAATTATTTCAATTTCCATTTGTAGACAATGTGCTTTGAAACTCTGGGCAAACAATCTCCTTGGTGGTCAGGTTTATTCATTAGTTTACATTCAAAGTTGAAATATTCACTAGAGACTTTGGTTAAATTAAATAGGATCACTATGCTCTATTAGATCTGACGTTCTCAAATATTTATGACCCTCAATTTTAAAAATTAAAAGGAAACAATTGCACAATTCTTTGACCTAATTGTACACACTTTAGTATTGTTTAAACAGTATTCTACACCCTTCAAGTAAATTCAGCAGTTGACCATGACAAGAGGAAAACTAAACATTTAAAAAGCTCGCGTGGAAAAGATGACGTACGACTAACAAAAGTATTGCTATAATTACAGCACCAGTTACACTTCTAAATGAATCTGCTGTCCTCTTCAAATTCCCTGTACATAAAAGATACATCAGCCAACAATGCAACTGCTCACCATGGATTTTTGGTTTGTTCATAAGAAAATAATGCGGCAAAAGAAAACAAAAGAATTTATCACAGTTTGTTATAAGAATTGTGCTTCACACTTAATAAAGGCATTATTGTTTCTTCATAAAATTGTAAATCAGTTATTTTCATGCTCTCAAACGCAATTCTTCTAATAAACAGTAACAAATTCTCTGTTAAGATGCTTAACTGGAGAAAACAAAACCCAGTAAATCCAGCTTTTAAAAGAAAATTCAATAAATAGCTATTTTACATGGATAAAGTCATAGTGGTACAATTTATGAATGTCACATCAAGCATGCACAAAAATGGTATTATACATGGCAGAAGCAGTCAGAAAATATTGAATTAGATCTAAAAAGATATGAAGAATTTACATATATATACAAAATCTTGCAAATTATTGCCTCATTTTAACAAGGAATTAAAAGTAAACGTTACCAGCTAGTC